TAGGCCAAGGCAAAGGCCCTGAAGACTGAATGAGCTTGGGTTGTATATTAGTGTGCTTGGCCTACTATAACAAAATACCACTCTAGACTCTTTCTACTCAAAACATTTCTGACACCAAATGCATGGGGTTTTTTACTTACACCAACCAATTCTCCTGGCACCAACTGTGTGTCCTACAGTTGAGTTCACTTCTGACATTACCTAGAGTTAGTGCAGACCCCACAGGTTAAGGACTCAGTCCCACAAGACTACCCCCACTTCAGATGCCAATCACAAGTTAAGGCCACCAACCAACCATCTGTAAAGTCAGGGGGTTCCTATTACCCCCTCCTCAAGTTCGATAATTTTCTAGAAGAGCTCACGGAACTCAGGAAACAGTTGTTAGCACCTTGATGTGTTCACCAACCCAGAAGCTCTCCAAATACTGTCATTTAGGTTTTTTAATGGAGGTCTCACTATGTAAACGTGATTGATTACATTATTTGCCATGGATGATTAGCCCCATCTCTAGTCTCTCTCTCTTCTCCAGAAGGCAGGGAGTGGTAGTTGGGAGGTTGGGGAGGATCATGGCTGAAAGTTCCAACTCTCTACTCATACCTTGTTTTTTCTGGGACCAGCACAGGTCCTGAAGCTATCAGTGGCTTACCAGCCACCAGTCATCTCATTAGCATACAAAAACACTCTTATTACTCCTGTGATTCCAGAGGTTTTAGGAAATGTGTGTCAGGAACTAGAAACTAAGACCAGATATACATTTATCTGTACCACAGACTTGGTGGCTTAAACAACAGAAATTTATTTGGAGGCTGAGAAATCAAAGATGAAGGTGCCAGGAATTCAGTTCTTAGTGAGGGCTCTCTTCCTGCCTTGCAGACAACTGTTACTGAAAGTTTGGCACTTGTCCCCAAGGCCTCATCAGAACAAGGACAGGTGGTTTGAGGAAAAAGAAAGGGAGATTTATTAATTTGCCTGCAAATGAGGAGTCTGGAGACTGTTGTCTCAATGTGCCATAGTCCTCACTATAAGCAGAAATACAGAGCTTTTAAAGGAGGGTTTTCAGCTTCAGGCTATTGCTGTTTAACTATAGTTGATGGTCCTGATTGACCCCATCTCCAGGGAGGACAATCTTGTGACTTCTGCCCAGACAAATCTGTTGAGCCATTTCCTATAGTACAAAAAACAAAGGATACTCCCCTGCCCCTCTGATTACTAGTCTTGGTTAGGGATGAGGGTTTTAATTCCCAAAAGAGTTGGAGAGGTTTTAAAGAGACAACACATAAAACATTTTGCTTTTTTCCAAGCCATTACCTCTGTTATACAACCACCTTCTTTCTGTGTCCTCACATGGCCTCTCCTGTGTGCATGCATGAAGAGAGAGAGAGAGATCTCTGTCTCTTCCTCTTATAAGGGCACCAACCTGTCAACTGAAAAGAAGCCAAACTCTGTAAAATAACTTAAAGAGGTTTATTCTGAGTCAAATTTGAGGAGCATGGCCTGGAGCCATGCCCAAGAATCCTTGAGCAAGTGGACTTGCTGTGGTTGGGTTACAGTTTGGTTTTATACGTTTTAGGGAGACAGGAATTACACGTAAAGTCATAAATCAATACATGGAAGGCATACATTGATTTGGCCTGAAAAGGTGGGAGATATCAAAGCAGGGGCTTATAGGATATAGATGGGTTTAAAGACTCATTGATTTATAATTGGTTGAAGAAATGAAGTTTTGTCTAAAGGCTTGGAATGTTTTAAGATAAGGAAGTCTGTTAATCAGAGACAAACCACTGGATATATGTTCAGACTCAAGTGCTTTGTTAAGTAACTAATAACCTATAGGTGTGACTTACGCTTTGTCTTGTATATTCTTAGGCCAGTTATTGAGTTACAAAGGACAGCTCCAAGAAGAAAAAGGGGATATGATGAGATGAGTCTGACCTCTCTTTCCATGGTCAGTAACTCAGCTTTAGGGTATTTTTGGGGTCCCCTTGGCCAAGAGGGGGTCCATTTAGTCAGCTGAGGGAGAGTTTTAAGATTTCATTTTAGTTCACAAACCCTATTAAATTTGGGCCCCAACCCCTATGACCTCTCTTCACAGGCCCTTTAATGCTTCAACATATGAATTTGGGGCATGGAGGAGACAAACATTCAGTTCATAACAGGTGGCATGTAACCAAATTCAGGCCAATATGGCTGGAGCCTGGCGAGCAGGAGGGGCATGATAGGGAATGAAGCCAGAGAAGCAGGCCAGCACGGTATTACACAGGGCTCTGAAAGTCAGAGTAGGGACTGTGATTCTTACTCCAAGTGTGCTGAGAAGCTAGAGCAGAGAAGCAATGTAATGCGATTATCATTTTTAAAAGATCACTCTACTTACCATGTGGCGAGGTCACTGAAGGAGTCAAAACTGGAAATGACCAGTTAGAAGGCTGTTGCAGTAGTTCAAGAGAGAGATGAAGATGGTTTACACTAGAAATGGTTAGTAATGGAAATAGAGGGACTTGAACCTGTATGGATATGTTTAGAAGTTTAGAAGCTAATGAGTTAGATGTGGGGAATGAGGGCAAAAGAGGAATCAAGCATAACTCCTATATTTTTGACCTGAGCACCTTGAAGGAGGAACAGGGTTGGAGTTGGAGACAAGAAATCAGAGTTCTATTTTGGCTGTATTAAATTTGAAATACCTATATGAATCTAGAATTCCAGGAGAAGTTAGAGCTCGGTGCATAGATAGAGAATAATTGTTAAATAGGGAGTGCAGCTTGGGTGACAGAGTGAGACCCTGTCTCTAAAACAAAGAAAAAAAGAAATGGGAGTATACAAAGCCATGGGACTGGATAAAGTCATCTGCTGGAAGAGTGACATTTGAGAAGAAGCCAGTGTGAGTCCTGGGGTCCTCTCACATTTAGCAGGCAAAAAAGACCACACAGCGTGTCCTGGAGAATGTGGTATCCTTAAGAGCCAAGAGAAAAAGTGTTCAAAGGAAGAAGGGAGCAATTAACAGTAACATTCAAACATTTACAGATTTGGAGATTTTTTTTTTCTTCTTTTAACAAACTTGCTAGATAAATTCTCAAAGAGCTATAATACTTGGAGGAGAGTTTATAAGAAATCTTATGGAAAGATTTTCCTTTAAAGCATTGGTTGATTTGAAAAAAAAAACTTTCTCAAAAGGCTGTTGAAAAGAAGAGTAAAACCTTGGTCACAAGTCAATTGTAAAAGAACGTACTGTCCCTTAACCAACTTTTCAAGTAGTAGAAGTTAAGTTTGCATGCACATGGTGCTAAAATCTTTAATTGTGTTAACGGGAAAAAAGCCAAACTGTAAAATAATTTTAAAGAGATTTATTCCGAGCCAAATTTAAGAATCATGACCCGGAGCCATGCCCAAGAAGCCTTGAGCAAGTGGACTCCCTGTGGTTGGGTCACAGTTTGGTTTTATACATTTCAGGGAGACAGGGGTTACAGGTAAACTCATAAATCAATATGTGGGAGGTGTACTTTGATTTGGCCCGAAAAGGTGGGCCATCTCGAAGAGGGGGGCGGGCTTACAGGTTATAGGTGGGTTTAAATATTCTTTGACTTGTAATTGGTTAAAAACATGAAGCTTTGTCTAAAGGCTTGGAATGTTTTAACATAAGAAGCTGTTTATCTGAGACAAGCCACCGGACATATATTTGTTGTGTAGATTGAGGACCTGCAGGTTTGTCTTGCATACCCTTAGGCCTGTTAATGGGTTACAAAGGATTTCCCCAAGAAGGGAGGGGGGCATGATGAGGCATGTCTGACCTCCCTCCTCATGGCAGGCAATTTAGTTTCAGGATATTCCTTTGGCCAAGAGGGGGTCCATTCAGTCAGCCATTTTATTTTAGTTCACAATTGCATCACTCAGAAATCACATACTTTTCTTGAAGGTAGGATACTTAAGGATAAATAATGTAAGATTGTACCTATTCTAATCTTAAAAATAACTTTTTAAAATAACTATTTTAAACCATATTTAACTATATTTAAACTATTTTTGACTATATGTAAAATAACTATTTTTAAAATAATTGATTCTTATAAAATATTCAGACTATGAAAATCTATAAAAAAAGATGTAAAAATAATTTCAAAACTAGTTTATAAAATATTCTTTTTGTTTCTTTTTTTCTTTTTTCTTTTTTTTTTGAGATGATCTCACTCTGTCACCCAGGCTAGAGTGCAGTGGCGTCATCATAACTCACTGCATCCTCAAACTCCTGAGCTCAAGCTTTTCTCCTGCCTCAGCCTCACAAGGAGCTGAAACTACAAGCATGCACCACCACGCCCAGCTAATTTTTCTATTTTTTGTAGAGATGAGGTCTCACTCTTGCTCAGGCTGGTCTTGAACTCCTGAGCTCAAGCAATCCTCCTGCCTTGGCCTCCCAGAGTGCTAGGATTACAGGCTTGATCCACCACGCCCAGCCCAGAATTTAGTTTTTAACAGCTTGAATGGTTTAATTAGATTCTAAACACAAATGAGAAAATGACAAATAAAAATTCATCTATAACAAAGGCATAAGCAAGTCATTTGCTTAAGTTTGTAACTTCACTGAGATATTACATAAATAGAAAAGTTTGTAAAATGTTAATTTCAAGAATTTCATGTTGGAGCTACTGGGATTTCTAAGTAGATGAGGTCTTAACTTCCGATGTCCTAAAATAGAACCCAACAAGTTGTAGCCACTTGGTGGATTTTTCAGCTTTATTTCCACCTTGGAATGATAGCCTGGAGTTGGATGGCGTCTACAGGAAGATCATACCCTAGTGCACATGCTCAACTGATGATTAGGAGATTCTTTTGACAGGTATAGTTTATTTGTACTTTGTCCTCTGATTTATCGTTACTATCAGTAGTCTTGCTCTTCTTCATCTTGAATTTCAGAAGAGCCAGATTATTGAAAGTGCTCCTTTTGAGCATTCTAAGTTAAAGAAACTGTATTGAGTTGTGTTTTATTGTCATTTTATTTGTTTCATCTCTAGAACTCTTCCTCATGGGTACTGTATAACATGGCTTCGTTTTACTGGAGAATAAAGAATGAGCCATATCAGGTAGTGGAATGTGCCATGCGAGCACTTCACTTCTCTTCCAGGTAAGATTCCTCCTCTTTTGGACCTGATTTTCCTGACTTTCCACATTCCTCAGGTCTGTTAAAGAAACAATACATAAGAAAACAATAAGAGCAGCTTTGCATTATACTTGCATTCTCCTCTATCCTTGTTCGAAGAAATTAGTTCCATCACACAAAAAAATCACAGATGTCAAAAAGTTCAAAGTGATAATTGTGTAATATACTTTTCATTTCCATTAAGAAAAAATGTAGGTATATATAATGTAGATGCCCTGTGATTCACTTGAAACTTGAATACAAGGACCTTGACTGGAGGAATTGTCATAAATTAAGTTTAACATTTCTTAAAGCAAATATAAGCCCTAAATAAATTTTAAAATCATAAAATGTCTGCCAGACCTTACTTTTATGGCAAAATTTGTAGCTATGAGATCAAGAACTACCAATAATTTTAAAATGACACATTATGATTATTTTAAATTATTTTCTCCACCCGTAAGTATGCTCAGAGTTATTTTCCTAAGCATAGCAATTTTGAATGTCATTTTTCCTGTTCAAGTAATTGTGTATATTCATGGAGCACATGCTTCTTTCCTAACATATAGTTACATCTCTCCTCTTTTAGGCACAATAAAGACATTGCCCTGGTCAATTTGGCAAATGTTCTACACAGAGCACACTTCTCTGCTGATGCTGCTGTTGTGGTCCACGCAGCTCTGGATGACAGTGACTTCTTCACTAGCTATTACACTTTGGGGAATATATATGCAGTAAATACTACTTTTTGTTTCATGAGTCATACCGGTTGCTACTTTCTTCTTTTTATAATTTTCTTAATAGAATGTTACTTTTTTCCCTTCCTCCTTTGTTCTTAACAATGGAAATGAAGAAATTTGGAAGAAAAACCCTCAACACAATAATGTGTTGTAATTGTTCTAGTGTCTTGACAAAAAAGAAAAATAATTGAGTTGATTGGAATTTTAACTTCTGCAGGGTACACCTCTTAAGGATAGCAATAACTTCCAACTAAACCATCCTATAGCATGCCATCCTGTTGTGAGGATTCGGCCACTGATCAAAATAACGTTCACTGTAGAGTAAGATGTAGGTGTGATCTCAGAAATCATTATGGGGTTTGGACAGATGCAACCAGGCATGGCTAATGTTACTTTCTCCTATGTGTGTGTATATGTGTGTGTTTGTTTTTGTCTCTTCAGATGCTTGGGGAGTATAACCACTCAGTGCTCTGTTATGACCATGCTTTACAGGCCAAACCTGGGTTTGAGCAAGCTATAAAGAGGAAGCATGCTGTGCTATGTCAGCAAAAACTCGAGCAGAAATTAGAGGCTCAACATAGGTAATTGAGAGAAAAAATTTCACTGAAGCACTAGTACCATAGAACCTTAGATTTGTGTAGTGTGGTATCAGTGTTAATTTGGTCATTGGAATTAAGAAAGAAACCTCTTCACTACTATAAATACCATCCATTTTCTCCAAGTCCTGGTGGTTTAGCATAATTCCCTGGTTGTGTGGAAGACTATCTTTAATAGCATGGATTCCAGGACCTAGGGAACTATTCACAGTAATAGCTGTCATTTAAATCTTTACAGTTTTGACCATTGACTATTTTCATGAAGTCAGATGGCAGTGAGGAGGCTGTGGGATACTCACTAATTCTGTTGATTACATTTTTATTTCTATAGAATACACTAAGTGTCAGTAAAATCACTTATACATGCAGTATTTGATCTTTCTCGCTTTTGGCTCCTAAAGGTGGGCTATCATTATGTTAGTTAAGTGGCATTGAGAACATTATTTGGCCCATGTTTTAATCAGATTTGTGTGTACAGTAATGGAAGTCTATTGTACTTGGCCCTTGCAGTGTACTTAGTAAAATATTTGTTTGATTCCATAAATAATAGGGCTAGTTAAGAAACTTCACTATTTGAAGTGAATTGTTCATATCTCAGAATTAGCCTTAATATTTTGAGTTCCTTTGGTTATTAGAGAATTAAACAGAACTCATTAAACTTTTGTACTTGCTTATTTTCCAAACTGTTTAAATAATGTATAATGTAGTGGGAAAAAAAGGATGACAGCTTCTTATTTATAACTGGCTTCTGTTATGCCGTATTAGAATTTGCCCTGGCTGAGGTTCTTCCAATATTAAGCTCTTAACAATCAAACTGGCTCTCTCACACAATCTGCGCAGCTCCTAAAATCTCTATATATTAATGCAATAGGCAATAAGATTTTTGTGACTAAATGTAATCAGGGAGCTGATTTATTAAAATCAGGTAGTAGAGAATATTCCTTTTTAAGGAGAGTTTCTGTGGTTTCTCCCAAAGCCTGTAACCAACAAGCTAGAGTGTGAAAGCAAGACACCATGGCCCTAACTGTTAACCTTGTCTTTAGGCAAAATCGAAGGAAAAAGGAGGCAAGAATTCTAGAAAGGCTTTGAATGTCAGCAGCACTAATGCAAATTTTATGGAGAGAAATAGAGTTGTTAAGTATGTAAACTTTATAGTATATTTTGATGTGATTTTATGGTACCTAAAAAGTTCAACACACCATTTGATGTCAAGTATTTAAGGGAAGAATTTCACATTTACTTTTTTGCCCTTAAGTTTTGATAAAAGAAGAGTGTTTATTTAGCCCTGTTATTCTTGAACTGGTGGTATGAGGTTGTGTGTTAAATAGAAGGGAAAAATCCCAGTAATTATTGCTGAGAACCAGAAAAATCTGTGCATTTAAGTGGGTTTTAAAAATTCATGATTTTAAAGCTCTAACTTTTTCCTGGTATTAAAAAATGTTAAGATCTCTCCAGCGAACACTGAATGAGTTAAAAGAGTATCAAAAGCAGCATGACCACTACCTGAGACAGCAGGAGATCCTGGAAAAACATAAACTGATTCAGGAGGAACAAATCTTAAGAAATATCATACATGAGACTCAAATGGCAAAAGAGGCACAATTAGGTAAGTAGTGACTCCAACTAATTGAAGGCAGGTTAGGAGATTCACTTCTAACATGCTTTGCTTTCAACTTTCATGTAGCCTTAAAGCAATGTAAAGTTGTGTTTATGACTTTCCTAGGTCTTAAAAATCAAGATTCGTCACAGAGGGTATATCAGGAGTCCTGGGGAGCTGGTTTGGTCCCCTTTGCTCTTTTTAATTTACATTTTGAAACAAGGCCAGGCACAGCGGCTCATACCTGTAATCCCAGCACTTTGGGAGGCTGAGGAGGGAGGCTCGCCTAGGGGCTGAAGTTCAAGACTAGCCAGGGCAACACAGCAAGACCCAATCTCTACCACAAGAAAAGAAAAGCTGGGTGTGGTGACACACACCTATAGTCCTTACTACTTAGGAGGCTGAGGCAGGAGGATCACTTGAGTCCAGGAGTTTGATGCTACAATGAGCTATGATTAGGCCATTGCACTCCAGCCTGGGTGGGTGACAGAGCAAGACCCTTTCAAAAATAAATAAATAAATAAGAAGAGGAGGAAGAGACACCGTAGTTCTCTCTCTCTCTCCTTTCTTGCAATATACTGAGGAAAGGCCATGTGAGGACACAGCTAGAGGGTGGTTGTCTGCAAGCCATGAAGAGGGCCCTCACCAGAAACCAAATCTCCTGGCACCTTGATGTGGGACTTCTAGACTCTAGAACTATGAGAAAATGAATTCTGTAAGTCATTCAGTCTGGAGTATCTTGTTATGGCAACCTGAACTGACTAATACATACACTAACTCAGCAATGGAGCCCAAGGATGTAGAAAGTCAAAAGAGAGATAGAAAAAATTTTTTAGAGATTTTATACATTTTTAAGTCTTTTAGATCCTGGGAATCTTAACAGTTGTTTGCCCTTTGTGCCTTACATTGTCTTTTTTCCAACTTTAATGTGCATATCAATCTCCTAGAGATCTTGTTAAAATGCAGATTCTGATTGAATGCATATGAGGTGGGACCTGAGAATCTGTCTTCCTAACAGGTTCCCAGGTGATGCTTGTTGCTGCTGGTCTGAAAACTACACTGGGTAACCAGGACTTACACCAAGTGAACACAAGCCAGGCACAGCCTATAAACAGTGCATCCAAACACTTTGGTTAACACTGGCGATAAGGCTAAACATCCTATTTTCTTGCTCCCTTAAAAACAAACACTATTTCAGAAGTAATATTTTAGACTAGATTCCTTTTGTTTCAGGAAGGAATTCTTAACCTGGGTGAAAGGATTAATTTTAGGGAGTTCTGAAATCCTCTCTCAAATTATATGTAAATTGTGTATGTGCACAGTTGTTTTTTTTTTCTGGGAAGAGAGTATATAGCTTTTATTAAAATATCTTAGAATCTGTGACTCCCAAAATAGAACCATTGGTCTAGGGAACTTAGGCAACAATTTGGTTATATCCAGAATGTTTTGTTTCTGATTAAACCCCAAGGGAGCAGATCTGACAACACCAGCAAATAAATTAATAGAATCCCTTAAATTACACTCTTCTCCCTTGATAAATATATTGGTCTAGAAAGCCTTTTAACCTTTGAACCTTAGCTGTGACTATAGTCCATTTTACAATCCCCCTAACAAGTTTTCTTTGCTATTTTAAGTATAATGAGTATGTTTAGTCCTTGGGATTGCTCGTTTATACTAAAATGCAACCAAGATCTCTTATATTAATATAAATTTGAAACAAAATTTTGAAGTATATAAAGCATATTCTGTCTAGAGAGATGGCCAAAGTCTCTTAAACAATGTAATCAATAGATTTTATAATTACGGAATGTAACTGCCAGAAGATGGTACCTCAGTGATCATCTAGTGGCACCCCTTTGTTTTATGGGTGGAGAAATTGGGACTTCTTTAGAATGATTTAATTTAACCATTAATGAGTGTTGCTCTGTGTAAGTACTCCCTATATACGTGCTCTGCTAGGTTCTGAGGGATACAGGGTTGAAACTAAAAGACTAAGAAAATCACATTGGCATTGCTGACCTTTCTCCTCATTTGTATAATTTCCTTTCTTATTCCAGGAAATCATCAGATATGCCGTCTGGTCAACCAGCAGCATAGTTTACATTGCCAGTGGGACCAGCCTGTGCGCTATCATCGTGGAGATATCTTTGAAAATGTGGACTATGTTCAGGTCTTTTTCTTGGTCTCTTCTAGTTCTTACAACCTTTTGCATATCTGAAAGTAATATCCATGTCTTTATCTCCTTGATTCCTTATATATTTGATCCCTAAAATTTGTGACTATCATTTAGATCTTTAAGATTTTGAGTATCTGTTATGTTTATGAAGTCAGATTTTGTAGGGAGTACTCAGTTACTCCATGGATGCATTCTGTTTCCCAGTACCATTCTGTATGTGTATATGTACATATATTTGATTCTTTTCTCCTATATCATGGGAGTTAGAATTGGACTATTATTACTGTTTAACTCAGAACTGTCATCTCCCCTTTTAACTATTAGAGTAAGACCTCTTTAAAATTTGAGAGAGAACAACCATACTGTTTCCTGAAGTCATCAGTCCAGTTATGTTGCCTCAACCAAAAACACCAACAAAATGCTCATAATCAACAGAAAATGATTATTAAGCACCATTGCTAGGTGCATGCTTTCTTTCATTTTCTTTCTGTCTCCATATATACAAACACAAAAACACACGCGCATATATGTGTACACACACACATATACATACCACACATACATGCCATCTTGGTCTTTCTAGTTGGGAAGAGATAATACATAAATATAATGATACCAGATATATGTAGCTGGTGCTCAATAGGTGATATAGACAGTAAGCACAACCAGAATTCTAAGTGTAAACAATAGGCTACAAAATTTGAAACTTTTTGAGTGCTGACATGGCTCTCAAAGGAAATGCTCATAGGAGCATTTTGGATTTCGGATTTTCAGATTTGGAATATTCAATAAGTATGATAAAATGCTCCAAAATGCAAAAATATCCTAAATCTGAAATTCTTCCGGTCCCGTGTGTTTCAGATAAGGGATATTCAACATGTATTAGAAATAAATTCCTATCATAGAGAAAACCATCATGTACCTAATCATAGATATAGAAATTTCCAGAAATAAGCTGTTAAAATAATGAAGAGATCAGGAGAGCATCTGTAGGAGGATAAACCACAAAAAATTAGAGCTCTTTAATCTGGAAAAACCCAAACTATATTGAAAAAGGGTAAGAAGCAAAAATTAAGGGGCCATTTAAAAGGGGAATAGGACATATGGACCAAAAGCTTCCTATAAATTTTGTAAACCAGCTCCTATATGGGATATTTGGCTTTCAAAAGAAGGAATAAAGGAAGACCTGATTCACACCCTCTGGGATTGTAGCTCCCTGTCTTAAAACCAAGCATTTTAAAGGGAAAAAAAGGAATGTTTAGAAATGAAATAGATTGCAACCCAATGTAACTTTTGGACTTCTTGACAGTCTGAAGACAGACCATTTGGAGGACTGCCCTACATCAGTGTGGCTTTTAATATTCTATAATATAATCATAAATTGTATTACTACTATATAGTCAAAGAATCCATTCCTATTCAAATTCATCATATTCATTCCTTTTTCTTATGTCTTTCCTACCTCATCCCATCTCCTTAATCTATCAAGGTTTCAGAAATACACAAGAACTATGGTATCTTGTGAGTATATCATACATTGTTCTACTTGTTTTGGAGGAAGGCTGTTTGTGTTCTTTCATCTCCTAGTTTTCCCTTTCACCTCTCAAGCTTTTATTTGGCATTGATTGCACAATAGTCTATAATCCCTAAATGATAGTTACATTAAACTCTTGAAAACCCTTTCTTAAGTTTCCTTGCTTCTACCCACAGCACACTAATTTTATAGAGTGGTGGTCGTTTTAGTCTAGGAAGAGGAAAGGAATAATGAACCAAATCTCTATATTAGCTAATCATTAAATTTAAAAGAGACTAAATCATAAAAAGGAAGCAAAGGGACAGGAAAACAATTCATGCTGTTTTTCTCATACTCCAGTGGCAAAGTTAATCATAGCTATTCATTATCCATGGGAGAATACTGTTGGGCATAGTTCTTAAAATTAAAAGATCTGATTGCTTAATTACTGACCTATTTTCTGATTTCCTACTAATTTTGAGTATTCACTAGCTTTTTTGGTTCAAGTTAAATTTTAGTCACAACTCCTTTTCCATTTCCAATTTGATTGAACTTTTCTTTTCATTTTCTAGTTTGGTGAGGATTCATCAACATCCAGTATGATGTCTGTGAACTTTGATGTTCAGTCAAATCAGAGTGATATCAGTGATTCCAGCAAGTCTTCTCCCATAGCCCATTCTATTCTCTGGATCTGGGGCAGGGACTCTGATGCATACAGGGTAAGTTAATAGAGAATGATGAAGGAGTTTTCTTAAAAAGACATGATCTCTTAAGACAGTGGCCCTCAACTCACTGATTAATAAGGCCCTGTCACTGTTCAGCAAACATTTATTAAACTTATGTTAAATGGAAGGCATTCTGCTAGTAGTGGATGAGTAAAACACAGGCTATACCTTGAGTTCTTCTTCCCAATATAGTGGAGCTGTTAGATACCCTGATTTCAGTTCAAAGATTTATGCTCTGAGTATAATTACCAACCTTAACAAGTTTCTAAACTTGACCTAAGTGTAGGCTTGTATATATGCTTCACTTACTTAATCAACATTCTTTTATTGAGCTCCCAAAAGTGTGCCAGGCCGGTGTTAGCAATATAGTAGATAGGCCCCTTGCCCTCCTGGAGCTTACACTATAGGGGGAGGTATAGACAATAAACAAGTTAAAAAAATATGCATTTTTAGGCTCAGAGATAATCGTGTGTTAGCCGATGGGGATACCAAGGTATGAAGACAGAGACCATGTATTTTTTTATTCATCATTACATTTTTGGAATTTTTTTTTTTTTTTGAGACAGAGTCTTGCTATATCACCCAGGCTAGAGTTCATTATAGTGGCCTGGAGCAGCCTCATTATATAGCTCACTGCAACCTCGAACTCCTGGGCTCAAGCGATCCTTCTGTCTCAGCCTCCCGAGTAGCTGGAACTATAGGTGTGAGCCACTGTGCCTGGCCCCAATTTTCAAAATTTAATTGAGTATTTAACGGAATTAATATAGCCACTTAGATTTAATGATATGTAGTATAAATTCCCCAAAGTTTGATAGCTTCAGGGTATAAGTCTAGTAAGCCTCTGGTACATGTTATTTACGTTTAGAAAAAAATAAACATTTTACTAATCATAAAACAGTTTTTAAACTTTGGTCCTGACAAAGAAAAGGTTTTAGTTCATGGAAAGATAGTTTTCAATGCCAGTTTTATAAGCTTATATGTGCTTTCAGGTAACAAGTAACCAACTCCATTTCAAATTGACTTAAACAGAAAGAAAAATTTGCCTGTTATTACAGGAAGTCCAGAGATAGGATTAAACTTCAAGTTTGGTTGATTCAGTGGCCCAGTGATATCATCAGTTACCCATTTCTTTTTTTTTTTTTTTTTTTCCTTGACTCTACCATCCACAGTATAGGTTTCATCTGAAAGCTTGTTTTCCTCATGGTCATAAGATGACAGTCAGCAGCAACTGGAACAACATGCTTTTTTGTTCATATGTAGCATAAGAGACTAAGACTTGCTTTTCTTTCCCAAAAACACAAAGCAAGGCTCTCCTTGTGTCTCATTGGTTCAACTGGTGTAGGCCTGCCCAACCCTGAACCAGTCTGTGGTAAAGCAGGGAGAATTACTGACTTATACCAATAATCTGCAATAGAAGAAATATTACAGACTCTACCACAGTGTCTACATTTATCTTAAAATACTACAGTTTTGTTCAGTTATCCTAGTATATTTATATTCTTTTAGAAGTTTATTTAGCATATTGAAATATTAAATCCAAAGGAATTTATGAGAAACTTTGTTTCTTTATTAGGACAAACAGCATATTTTGTGGCCTAAAAGAGCAGATTGTACAGAAAGCTACCCTAGAGTCCCTGTTGGTGGGGAATTGCCAACATATTTTCTGCCTCCGGAAAACAAAGGACTCAGGCAAGTGCTGATGGATTTGGCAAAGCACCCGATTCTGCATGATTGTCACCTGGCGGTTCTTTGAGAGCACCAGCCTTGGATTTGAAAGGTTAAGTCTTTATCTCAAAATCACCCAAACTTTGAAAATATGAATCTTGTTCCTTTTTCTTGTGCCAGGATCCACGAACTCAACAGTGATGATTATTCTTCAGAAGAAGAGGCCCAAACCCCTGACTGTTCCATAACTGACTTCAGAAAAAGCCACACTCTGTCCTACTTAGTCAAAGAATTAGAGGTCCGCATGGATCTGAAAGCCAAAATGCCAGATGACCATGCACGAAAAGTAAGGCTCATTTAGGCTGGTGTTTATTGCTGTCCATTCTGGGTGACTTCAGAAGCCTCTTAGATGGAGCAAAAATTCGATAAAAGGCAATTATTGAGCTTTAAGTGTATGAAACTGAAGGATAGAGTTAAAGAATTGGTAAAACGATTGAGAAGTCAGTCATGCTTAAAGGAGTGCCGGGGGAGTATTCCTCAGGGCTGCTGTACGTAAGACTACTTAAGCACTATTCCTGTACCGGGGCTACACAGATGGATAACACAGAACTTTGTTTACTGAATGGAGTTGGTCTGATGGAGGCATTCTGATCATTTCAGTTTAACTTTGCATCCTCCAGTCCTCCAGAAGTTTGTATAAATTGAAAACTTGAAGGTTCTCTTTCCCTGGCCTTATATAAAGTCCTTAGGAATTTGTATTAATTTGATAACCACTTCGCAAACATTAGAAGTTCTGTTTTTGTGTATTCCTGTCAGTTATGTATAACTAGGAATGTTTTATTACAGTTTTATTGAATTATCCTAGCATATTTTATGCCATTATTAGATGCCATTCCATAGATACAAATGAAAAAAATTACCTTTTTATGGAGATGATAGACCATCACAACCACCTTTTTTAAAACTTAATTTTAAAACTATAAGCAGTTACTTTTAATACTTATATTTAAACATCTTCTGAGGGGAAAAAAACATTATGTGCCAGACATTGTTCTGGGTGCTAGGAATATAAAGAGAAATAGATCCCTGCCTTAGAGCTGCTCACAATTATATAAATGCTGCAAGAACATTAAATAGATTAATTGGGGATCTGGTGTTTTCCAGCTAAGGAAGATAGCAGATTTTATTGCATCAGATATTGCGTGCCGTTGTCTTTTGAATAATTTCTCCTTGGATTTTGGACACTTAGGTTGACTTTAATGACGTGTGGTAGATAGTTTAATGTTTATATGTGTGCGTATATGTCTTTAACTTTTTTTAGTTAAAAGAAACTAGTACATACAAGTAAGCAGGTCAACACCTGTTGTTACAACAAAGACCTTATGTTATATATATGATTATAAATATCTGTTCAAATTAGCTTTTCCTGAGGAGCTCAAGAAAAGACTGCCATCTATAGAAATTCTTTTCAAATGTCT